AAGGTCGGCGCGGTCCCGTCCTGGCCTGGTTGCAATTGGGGGAGCTTGTCGATGCCGCGAGCCCTCCATCCCCCCCTGATGCCGCCGCTTCGGGTGCCTAGCAGAGAAGGAAGAGGACGCTTGGGACAGCGCCTGCCTTGGTGGCGACTTCGAAGAGAAAGTCGGAGGTCACGACAGCCGCCGCGGCGGTGGTAGAGCACTGCTTGTGGGCGCGTGCTTGAACCGTCGTGGTCGATCGACGTCGCCGTGCTGCTGTGGGCAGTTTGTGACGCGTCGATTCCCGCCGCGCCCTCGCCCGCGGTGATGGCTGTGGCCAGCGCGACAATCAGCCGAGTGCGTGCAGTCACTGGGCTTTGTGTTTTGCTGGTGCCGCGCGGCGTGTAGTCCGCGTCGGCTTGGCCTTCGGCGTGGACCGGCCGCTCGACGTCGTTTTCGGGCGCGTCGTCAGTGAGGGAGTCGTTGCCGAGAGATGGCGAGGTTTTGGGTGCCAGGGCGTCAGCTCAGCGGTAACCTTGGCGTGCGCGGCGGCGGTGGTGCGTCGCGCGGTGGCGGAGGGTTCCCCGCTGTTGATTCGTGCAATCAGGGTTTTCTGCGTTGCTGCATCGGCTGTTGGCGGGCCAGTTGCGTCGCCCGTCGGCCCGCCGGCGTGCCGCCGCCGCGGCGCCGCCGGGGAAGTGGCGGATGCAGGTGGCGAGGTACGCCCCGCGGTCAGCATGCGGCAACCGGCTGAGCGCTCTTCGCTCGACGGCCCTGACCAGGCGCGTGCTTCCCCGCGCTGTCAGACAGATGTCGCAGTCATTGCGTTGACGTCTGCGTTCTCTAGGTGCGTCTTGGTTGCGCGTGGCATTGGGCAGCAGGGCGCGGCTGGGGCGCCGCGGGTCATCCGGCGCCCGCGGTGGGCACTGGTCCATTCAGCTTTGGAGCCCCTCCTGTTCGCCATCCCAGGGCGACCATGTTTCGCCCGTGCCCTGGGCGCGATCGAGGATGTCCTGGCGCTAGTAGTTAGCGAGTTGCGACACGTGCGCAACCTTTGGGATGTGCATGTCTGCATGAGGCCCCCCCTCGTCGTCAGGGTCTTCGACGGGGTCGCCGACCAGGCCAGCGTCCATGTCTGGATTATGCATGTGGTCGTCGCTGTCCACCTCAGCAGCACAGGCGGCGGGACTGGCGTCCCTCGACCCAGCCGCCCCGCGTCAGTGCCCGGGAGGCGTGCGGCCTGGGGCCCGTCGGGGCCGGCGTTCGTCGATGCCTTTGCTGTCGCGTCGTGCGTTTGCGGCGCCGGTGGTCTGGGTATCTGGTGGTCGCGGTGCATGGCGTTCGCGGCTGCGCGCAGTGCTTGAGCGATGCTCATGTTCTGTCGTTCTGCTGGCGCGGCTCTGTTCCTGGTCGCGTCGTCCTCGGCTAAAGATTTTTCTTGCATCTGAAGCTGGTGGATGCCTCGGGCCGCGGTGGCTGGTCACCCAGGCAGGCCACTGCTGGCTGATCCTGTTGCATCACCGTCGTCGCGCAACCTCGGAATGTTTGTCGCGCTCCGCATGGCGCATGCTGGCGCTGCTGGTCGTCTTGTTGGCAGGGGGCTTGGGCGCGGCAGAAGAAGCAGTGCGGCGCTGCGCGTCGCCGTTGCTGTTGAAAGAAGAAGCATTGCCTCTCCCCCCTCTCTTTTGAAGGCCCAGGTCGGCGGGGGGTCGTCGGGCATTTGGCCTGGTGCCCGTTGCCCCCGGTCGCTTAGAAAAAGACCCCGCGCGGCGAGCTGGGCCGGGGGCGATGGTTCTCATGGGGCCGCAGCACATGATGACGCCCACCTAGAGGCGGCGCTCGCTGGCGCGCGGCTTGCCTGGGCAGGCGCTGCCGTCGCAGATGCTGCGGGGCGGTGGGGTACGAGCAACAGCAAGGTACGAACGTCAGAAACTCCATAGCGATGGTCAGAACCAGGGGAAGTGTGCTGTTTGCGCACCCACTGCTCTAGCGGACCGGAGCTACCTGCCCCTGCATAAGCAAGCAACATGAATCCAACACCTTCGGTGAGTTTTACGTCGATGGGTATAGGTAGACCCATCGAGGCCCCTTCAGCGCTGCCCCTAGGGTGGGTCTGGGCGGGCGCGGTGGGGTGGCTAACTTGTTGGGTCGCAGCCTTTCTCCACCCCTCGAGCTGGTTGAGGCTCCGTCCTTTCTCCGTCGGCGGCCTCGTTTCCCTGTCCTACTAGGACTGGTCGCTGGGCGCCAGTGCCGGGCTGTCTGGGCTGTCAGGGCAGTTTGGGCTGCCTGCGTGACGCGTGGGGCCATTTGGGCCGCGGATGCCCTTGATGTCAGTGCTGGGTGTGGTCTGCTCCGCTGTCACTGGAGATATCCCTTGTGCCAGCTGGTGTGGTTGCTGAGCGAGGGTGGCCTTGCTACTGCTGTTGTTCGGCTTCCAGATCTCGAGACCTCGCATAGGTTTGTTCCGAGACCCCTTGGACGTTGGTGACGGGAGACCCTTTTCGTCGGAGTTTTCGTCGTGGTCTGGTGACTTGGCCCGACCTTTGGGCGATCCTGGTGGGGTGCTGGTGCCCGTGTATTTTTCGTGTCGCTCGGACATGTCGCAATTCTCCTGGTCGCGCAGAGCCAGTGGCGCCTGGTCTGGGGTGGCCTTGGGCTGTTGATGGGAGCGAGGACCTTGGCGATTTGCGTTCTCGTGGCGCTCTGGGGTTCGATGCCCGTGATGCGTTGTTTAGCGCGGGCGAGTGCGGCGTCGGTGCCCTTGTTGTTCGACTGCGACCTGCTTTGCGACCGCTGCGTATGGTTTGTCGCAGATGCCCAGCCATTCATCCGCGCGGATGGCACCGTAGGCGTTGTGCCTTCGGGACGTCGCGCGTGTGTCTCGGAGCGTGTCCTGGCGGCCGTCTGGGTGCCGCGCCGCGATGCAGTCGCTGGGTTGGGGCTCCTGTTCTGTCGCAGTCGCGTCGAATTGGATGACTCCTTGGCCCGACGTGGAAAAGAGGCCATGGGCGCGTCCGCCAGTTTGATGCCGAAGGTGGCCGCCAGCCTGCTGTCGCCCGCGCTCGTGCCACGCCGGCCGAGGAGCTTCATTGGATCTTTGATTTGGCCGGCGCGGAAATGTGATGTGGAGATGGCCGTGAAGGCGTCCGTCAGGTTGTCGTCCATTTGCTGCCTCAGGCTGTCGCGCTTGGCTGTCTTGTGGCGCTCGTAGGCCTTTTGCTGAGCTTTCCCCGTGCCTCCTGGAATGTGGTTTCCGTTGATGGGGGCGACGCCTGAAAATTGGGCGATGGACAGTTCCTCCAATGCTGGCGTGGCAGCGATAGCGTCTGCCTCGCATATGGCGCTTCGAATCCAGGTGGCACTGTCGGCTTGGTCGAGGGTAACTAGAACCGCGTTTTTGATCTCGTTGACCTCGATGCTACCCAGGTTGTCGATGGTCCCGCAGTTTTTCGGAGGGTTGGCGTGAGTGTCCGTTTTCCTGGGTATCCGGTATGGATCGGTCACAAGACGCCCAGAGCCAGGGGTTTGTCTTGCCTGCGGATATGTTGCAGGAGCCGGTCACCATCCTATAGTTTATGGAGTGAGATGCTGCTGGTGCGTGGCGTCCCCTCGTCCGCCTTGTTCGGCGCGAGTGCGGGGGGGACATCCCAGTTGAGTGTGTCGAGGCCGATGAGTGGGGCAGTGCCGTTGCCCTGGTGGGCGTCGGCAGAAGCCGTGGACCCCGGTGAGTCGCGGCTGGAATCCGTTTTTTCGCGTAAGTGATTCATGCAGCATGGTGGAGTTGAGTGTTTTTCCGCACAGTTTCATCAACTCTCCCCTTCGCTCGTGCTGATGCTTATGGGCTGGGTCGCTGTAGGCAGCGACTGCTAGTTCGCCGCCATCACGGTCCTGGATTGCGGCGACGCAGGCTTCCTTACCACTGAGGTCGGTGTCTTGTCGATTACTTCAGGTGTCCTTGGGGCGGCCCTTGCCTGGTGGCTTGAGCTGCGGTGGTGCAGAGTGCGCACGGCGAAGATTTTTCGAAGCCATGGCGCGCGCGCGGAAAGAAAGGGATGTGAAACGTATCGGTCCCGTATGACAGATACGTTTACAGTCTCATTGGGCTGGGGGGGCGCGGAAAGTTACGTGTCGCGGCTTCGCCCTGATCACAAGCAGATTCGAGCCGATATTGGAGAGAGAGAGAGAGAGAGAGAGAGAGAAAGAGAGAAAGAGCGAACGAGAGAGAGACGAAAATAGAGAAACACAACAGCGCACAAAGGAAGAAAAAAGGAGACGGAGAGAGAGAGGGGTACAAAAGCCATGGTCACCCCCCGCCGTCCCGGTGGATCCAAAATCCCTTATGGACCTTGATTTTCTAGTTGTTTCCAGAAGCGTCAGGTACCACCGGGTCGCGTGGTGGGTCCGGTATGGTCCGTCTGGTAGGTCTCAACCACACATCACAGCAACGCGGGATTTGCAAATCACGTGGCTTGCGGCGGGCTGCGCAGCCGTCTTGCGCAGATGGTGGAGCGCAGGTGTTACATGGTTCCCTACGCCCGAGGATGTGAAAGAGGAGGGCCTTTTCTTCCTGATTCACCTCTTCCCCGTCCCCGCCCCCCTGATTCCCCTTCTTCCCCCCCTTCCTCTTCCTCTCCTTCAAAACTCCCCGAGGGGTCCGCCGCTGCGAGCTGCTGCCTTGTTGAGGCCGAGGCGCCTCATCGTCCCTTCCTCTTCCGTTTCATGCCCTGCGGAGCAGAAATGGGAAGAGGTGGCATAAGAAGAGGAGGAGGCGGAGGAGGAGGAGGAGGAGGAGGAGGAGAAAGGGGAGAAGGAGGAGGAGCAGGAGGCGGAGGAGGAGGAGAAACACGAGGAGGAGGAAGAGGCGGAGGAGGAGGATGATAAGGACGAGGATTGTCGTAAGCCAAGTGTGCATCAACGATATTGCCACACACCCTGCCGTCCCTACCAGTTCTCATTTTTCCTTCGGGGTAGGGAGTAACCACTTCACTGCAAGCATCATTTGGCCACGGCCCTGGTGCGGGGAGGCCATCATCAAGCAGTCCCTTCTCGTGGGCAACCTCACCGCGGCCGTAGAGTGCTGCTTCAAGAACAACCGCATGGCCGAGGCCTCGTGCCGCTCTGTTGGTGATGGGGTGAATGATGATGTTGACGATGACGTTGACGACGACGACTTGAGGACTAGGATGAGGATGAAGATGAGGATGGTGATGATGCTGATCCTGCTGTTCCTGATGCTGATGATGATGATGTTTATGATATTGATGATGGTGATGATAGTGGTGAGGATGATGATGTTGATGGTGATGCTGCTGCTGCTGCTGATGATGATGATGATGATGATGATGGCGGTGATGATGATGATGGTGGTGATGATGCTGCTGACGACGATGATACTCATGATGATGATTGTTATGGTAATGGTAATGGTGATGAGGAAGTGATGGTGATGATGATGCTGGTGATAATGCTGATGATGAGGGTGAGGATGAGGATGGTAATGAGGAGGAGGATGTTGATGCTATGATAATGAGGATGCTGATGATGATGACGATTATGGTGACGGTGATGATGACGAGGATGTCGATGATGTTGATGATGGTGATGGTGATGCTGATGATGATGATGATGCTGATGATCACGATTATGATGATGAGGATGCTGATGCTGGTGATGGTGATAATGATGCTGATGATTATGCTGATGCTGCTGATGATGAGGATGGTGTTACCGTTGATCTTGTTGTTACTGACGATGTTGGTGTTGCTGATGCTGATGCTCATGCTGATGATTATGATGATGACGACGATGACGATGAGGACGACGATGATGATGATGATGATGGTGATGGTGATGGTGATGGTGATGGTGCTGATTATGATGATGATGGTGATGATGCTGATAAGGATGGTGATGATGATGGTAGTGGTGACGACGACGACGGCGATGACAACGACGACGTCGATGATGATGATGATGATAATGGTAATGGTGATGGTAATGGTAATGATGATGATGATGATGATGATGATGATGATGATGATGATGATGATGATGGTGGTGATGATGATGATGATGATGAATATGATGATGATGATGCCATACACGCACACACGCACACACGCACACACGCACACGCACACGCACACGCTCACGCACACGCACACATACACGCAGACGCACACACGCACCCGCACACGCACACACACGCACACACACACATACACGCACACACATACACACAGACACACTCACACGGACACGCACACGCACACGCACACGCACACGCACACGCACTTGCACACGGTCACGCACGCGCACACGCACACACACACACACTTTTTGCGCACACGCTCACTTGCACACACACTTGCACACTTGCACACTCACTTGCACACACACGCACACACACGCACGCACACTCACACACTCACACACCCACACACACTCACACACACACACACGCAACCGCACACACACAAACACACGCACACACACGCACACGCACACGCACACGCCCAAGCACACACGCACACGCACACGCACACGCACGCGCACACGCACACGCACACGCACACGCACACACACACACACGCACACGCACACACACACACCCGCACACACACCCACACCCACACCCACACACACATACACACACACACACGCACAGACGCACACACGCACACACCCGCACACTTACACGCACGCGCATACGCACCACACACGCACACACGTTCATGCGCACACACGCACTTACGCACGCACACACGCACGCCCGGACGCATGCGCACACACAGACACACATCCACACCCACACATATGTAGCCATTTTGGCTCAAGCCATTTTGGATCAGGCTGTGTATGGCACCATCCCAAGAATGAGGACACTTTCTTAACTATTTTACTTGCGTGTGTGTCGCTCTATTTTCTATATGGTCAACGTATCCTCCACAGCGTAAGCAAGATGTCGAATTCAGTACTTCAGCGGTCCATCAAGCCAGCCTCAAAGGATGGAGGATCGCATTGCACATTGCGCTGGTGTATCCATCAGAGATGGGGAACATCGCGTCAATACCCACACACTCATTGACCAAGCTCGTTTTTGCTCCAACGGAATTTTCGTCACTATAGACTTCAAAAAATAAATCTGCCATACCGTTCGACAGTGCTCAGTTTCTCGCGCAAAATCATGGCTTACATTTCAGAGATCTTTGGCAGATGCATTGAAGGAAGCTGAACGTGCGAGTTTAAGGTATTGCTCGACGAACCATTCGCCGATTTCCTTGCGCATTGTGCCCCTGACCACAAGAACTCTTCAAGAGGCTGCTCATAGAACATGGGTTACAACGCGGCAGCGACCTGTGGCGTCATATGTTCAAAAACTCACTCATGTATGCTTCAATCAGTTTTTGGCCGACAACAACTTACACCTATTACATCGATGCTGGATCGAAACTATGACTGGGTGAGGAAAGCTGTGGAAGCGTCTAGGCATTCCCTCGGCTGAGTTTTCTTGGCATGTTTCCGTGTGTTCGTGGCTTTGAGCAGAAAGAGAAGTTGGGACTGTTTTTTGGACATTGGACAAAGGTTGGCGCAATTTGAATCATTGCCCCTCCCAGTTGTACATCGACAGTTGGCAATCGCATTGGTCGTTTCGAAGTTACATGGTTGACAACAGTAGGTTTGCCTCTATCTGACCTTATCCTGAGCATATTCACTCTTGGCATATCGAGGAATCATTCGAAATGGCTTTATTGCTGAAGGGTCGGGAGAATGTCAGCCTACTGACAGCCACTGCCTGGATGTCGTTCGAGGACTTCAGAGTGTGCCGATGTTCGTCTGCGTCTGAATGCCACCGATGGGAGTGTACTCGAGATTATTACGAGGACGTCGAGCCATATGTAAAGTTATCTTCCGCAGTTTTTGCAACATTGGCTCGCACCGGCTTTCTTTGGGATTTTTACCCTGGCCGCGTTCTGCGCACGATGCATGAAATTCAAACGCCGATTTGTGAAATAGCTCCTTTAGTGGCAGTGTTTATTAGGTGTAGTTGTTTATGGAAGTGTTTTCGTAAGAAGTAGCCAACCAAATATGACCAGCACATCCACACACACATACACACTCTTACACACACGCTTACACTCATGTGCACACACACACTTACACTTGCACACGCACACGCACACATACACACGCACACACACACACACTTACGCACACGTGCACATACACATACACATATACACACTCTTGCACTCTTGCACACACTTACGCACACTTACGCACACTTACACACACACACACACCCTTCCACACATTTACACACCCTGACACACACTTAAACATACTTGCGCACACTTGCACACACCTACACACTTGCACACACCTACACACTTGCACACACACACACACCTCACACTTACACAGTCATGCACACTTGCACACGCACACACTTACACACACTTACACACGCACGCACGCTCACACTGCAGGAAGAACAGGAAAGGGGAGTTCGTCGGCCCCCGTGGCCGGGGGCGGCGGGCAGGCAGCGAACAGCGGCCGCAGGCGGGGGGGGTCGCGGGCGGCGGATGCGGGCAGGGCGGCAGCAAGGCGACGCTGCGCTAGGGCGGCGCGCGAAAAAGAGCGGCACGCGGCGGCGCAGCTGGGGCCACGCCAAAGCTAGGCGGGCAGGGAGCTTGGCAGAGAGCCAGATGCGGGCGGCCGGAGCGGGAGAAGCCGCGGCGCGCTGGAGAGACCAGCGGGCCGGGGCGGGGCGGGGCGGGCAAAGGCGGAGGCAAAGGGACGAGACCAGACCTGGAGTGGCGGCTAAGGGGGCTGGAAGAGCGCGGCGGGCTGGCCGCGGGGGCCAAGGCTGACCCCAAGGAGGAGCCACCCGAGGCAGCGATCGACGTCCCAGCGGATCGTGCGTGGCGGGCACACAAAGGAAGACCCAGCAGCGACAGACAGGCAGCACGCCACCCAGACGCCCGGCAGGCCCAGGGGAGGGCTGGAGGCGCGCCCAGGGATCGTCCAGGGAACGCGTCCCGTGCCACACACACATGCACACATTCACACACGTTCGCACACATCCACACACATTCACATACACACACGCACACGCATTCACACTCACACACATTCACGCACATCCGCACACTTAACACATTCACGCATTCATGCGTTCACTCGCTCACTTATTCACGCATCTACACACTATAGATATAACCGGGGACCGTGTCCCGGGGCCGGGGGCCACGACCACGACCGCAAATGTGGGGCCAGGGCGTCGTTTTCCCTGTGTTTTTTACATGGTTTTCGGCGACCCGGGGCCAACAGGGCCCCAAGAGGCTGCAGGGATGCCCCAGGAGGCCGCAGCGATGGCTCCAGACGCCTCTCAAGTCCACTCCCATGACGCCAAGAAGGCCCCCGAAGGCCCCGAAGACGCCCCAAGAGGCACCCCGAGAGAGCCCCAATATGCAAACATCGTCGATTTCCGATGGGACAACTGCTATTTTTGGCGTGTTTGCCTTTTGGGCTTCCACCGCGTCCAAGACGGCCCAAGAGGCACCCGAGACGGTCGAGGATGCCCCCAGCAGGGCTCCAAGCCGGCCCACGAGGGGGCCAAGACGGCCCACGAGACGCCTAAACCTGCCAACAACGCCCCAAGTCGGCGCCCAAGACACGGACGAGGAACCGAAAATGTGAGCCATTTGGCCCAAGAGGCCCCCAGGAGACCCCAAGAGCCTCCAAGAAGAGGCCCAGAAGCCCCAAGAGGTCCCCAAGAGACCCGAAACAGCACAAAATGAGTCTCCGAACACGCCCCGAGCACGCCCCAAGGGGCACTCCAATAGAGCCCCAAATGAGCAAACATCGTCGATCTCCTAAAGGAACACTGCTATTTTTGGCGTGTTCGCCTTTTGGGCTTCCACTGCGTCCAAGACGGCCCAAGGGCATCCATGCCTGTCGAGGATGCCCCCAAGAGGGCTCCAAGATGGCCCAAGAACGGGCCAAAACGGCCCCCGAGACGCCCAAACCGCCCAAGAATGCCCCGAGTCGGTGCCCAAGACGGGGACGAGGAACCGAAAATGCGAGCCAGTTAGCCCAAGAG